ACACAAAACTTATAAAATAAAGATCCTGGACGAAAATATCACTCTTTATTAAAAACAAGACTATTTTTCAAGAAGATGATGTCACTTACACACAAATATTTGAGAGGGAGCTTCCGATAAAAATTCGGCTCAAGAGAGGAGTTCACTGTGTTTCGACCAGAGAGAAAAATCTCATAAGTTTTCTAAAATAGGAGTCTTCACCTCTCTGAATTTAAATTCTACTAACATATTATTTTATTCTTTTATTACGTTACATGTGTGAGCGTTAGTTTACGCTTTAAACACCTAAAGCCCACGTCCTTTAGTGGACGTGGCAAGAGCAAGGAAACACAAAGCTTTTTAACGAAAAGCTTTGAAAAGTAGAGATGGTCCCTAAGGACCATCATGTTCAAATGAATCATCATGTATTAAAAGTTTATTTTCTTCTTTTCTTTTCTTTTCTTTTTTTTTTTTTTTTAAAAAAAAAAAAGAGTTTAGGATTGTTACAATATGATTTCAATGTAGTGACAATTATCATTTAAGATTTGTTTACGCCATTTAGGTGACAAAAGCAATTGGAGTTTGTCATTATTTTATGGCTATTGTTTAATCTACAACGAATCAATGACTCACATATGAAAGTGAGTTGCTAATGATCAAACCACAGTATTAAACTTTGCTGCGAGAAATGGCATGAAGAGAAAATCTATGTCCCCATTCACACCGACTGAACAATTAAGAACAGCAATCCAAAAATGAAATTTTGTTGGAACTTCAAATGCATGATTTCACATTGCAGACTGCTAGGCCACATACAGTCCTGCACCAGCTGATCTTACGAACTCGATATGACTCCAATAAAGTACAAAATTTGTATAAATATCAAGATGCCTCTTCTGCACGCCAACCCCATCTATACCTAAAATGTCTGGAACAGTGACAAGGTAGACAGATCAGTAGCAAAAACATCGGACAAACTTGCCAGTGAAGTGTTAATAGAACTTCTACATCGAATTCCTTGTCATGATATGACTGTTTATGACTAAAACACCCACCATAGAACAATAAAGACCCATAAAGAATACACACAATCGATCTAAAGTAGCCTCATTCCTTGAGGCATGGCTACAAAAATAATGTGCCTTTCCAGGAAACTTCACTGGACAATTTAGTTATTCACAATTTCACTTTTACGATCAGTAAGCTAGGATAAAAACCTAATACTGCAGTATCATCTCTTACACCCTATTCAGATGCTAAAGTTATTATAAGTCATCAACTTTGAACATAAAAAAATCTTCACCCCGAGTGCAAAAGAAATACTTAAATTTTAGATAAAAGACTATATTTCCAGGGAATTGCAGGAACTCTCCAATCACAAGAGAGACCTATTAAAGCATTGCCGTAAGAATCTGCATGAAGCACAAAAGAAGCCACAACATGGATCATCTTAGATTAGTCGGAAAGCCTCTCCATATAAACCTCAACGTTGGTCCAACATTATCAACCAAATTCTACCAGATGGAATGATTGAGAAGTCAAGAGCTCATGCTACACAAAGCTAATTCTCAATGGAACCCAGATATTGGTAATGGATGTTACCCATAACAACATCGAAGGGGATATGGAAAAAAATGCATGAGCTTCAATTCCAGAATAACATTATCTACACTGCTTATGCCCAACACTAGAAATCCCCAACCATATGGGAAGCTCTAGTCACTAGCAGCTTCTAACTTCTCATAGTTTCAAAGATGTAGTTGACCATGAAAACAGCTTAAAGAGCAGCACCTCTTGGATCATTTGGTCTCCTACGTCCTTGTGAGTTCATTCAGCTCTTAGAAAATGAAGCAACTCCCTCCTTCAATATCGCCAATCCATCATTCCAACACAGAACATTGACATGGGGCGAATGAGTCCCTTTAGGAATACCCAAACAAAAGGAATTTGTAGTTTCCAACCAAAGAACATTAACAACATGGATGAAGATATGGGCATTAAGCACAATTAAAAGCGACACGAGAATCAATAAGGAGAACAATAAGAGTACAAAAAATTAGGGGCATACCAAAAATACAAAGAAAGAAAATGAAACACATATAGAAAACAGAAATACGGGAACCATGAGGTTCCCTAAGCAAAGTAGGTCCCAAGTTCATAAGGTCAGAAAACTATCAACCCATATGAATACTAACAATAATGTAGCTTTCTAGATCAATTTATACAAAAAGGACAATCACAGGGGATGTATATCAAACAAAATCTCTACACATTCTTACAAACACGCCTGAAGAGAGTGGTCAGATATAGCCCATAAAAATTGGGCACTTAAGCCCCCAGGGCAACAATAACAATGGCATAATTACCCCTTCATTACAAAAAGAAAAGACAGAAAAAAGAAGATATGAACTACACCGCCATAGCACAAACATTACCACGGTTTGAGTAAATCAAATATCTTTATAGGGAACAAGCAATTTGGATAAAATAATCAACAATTCACTCCAGATGTTTTCTAACCTATGCAACCATAGAGATAATTGTCCACGGTTTTACGCACATATTGACACACCAAGGACACAACACCCATGCCAAAACTTCAAATACTACACTTCTTCTTAACCTTTCTTTCTTGAAACCTCACTATAGAAGTACTTAACACCACCTCACTAAACGTCACCTTAGATCCCACCTCCCCCATTCTTTTAATGGTGGACAGTCATGCCAGGTCTAAAAGGACTTAGACCATGTTGGTGATTCAGACACTCATACCATGTCAGACAGTGACATGCTTATTCGCATCCTCGAAACATAAACTCTAACACATTGATCAAATGGGATGAATCCCCAATCCACAAGACCTAAAAGGACTTAAACCATATAGAGGAACAATGTGGGAAATGCAACCACAGACT